TTCAAAAATGTGTAATAGTGTTTTTCCTATTTCATTGAGGGGCAAAAAATTGTAAGAAACACTTTAAAACGATTGATTTTGATATATCTCTTTGGTTACTAAAATAAAGTCATCTGTACTTTCTCTCAAGTTTATTATGTGGTTAAAATAAAATTTATTTTTTAAAAGATATTATGCTGGCGGAAATAATCTAAATAAAATTTAGATTTATTGTATTAGCCAGTTCTTTTTTTTTTTTTGTCTTAAATGACTAATGTAATTTGTTACATATGATAAAGAAAATGTTTTTTGATGCTGTGTGCCTTAGTATTTGTTGCTTTGTAATCTAGTGATTGAATCGTGGCATTCTTTTCAATGCATGGCATTGCTTTTCCATGTTGCAAGGTAGTTAATAACTTTCAATGATTCTTGAGTTGGAGTGTGAAGATAAAAGGGATAAAAGGTTCTTCTCAGTATTTTTCTTTTTCGTTACTGACTGGTTATGCTACTAGTCCACCGGCCATCACCACTTGGAGTTAGCTTGTCAGCATTCATGTGCCAGGTATGAAGTGTATAAGTAAAGGATTTTCATAGCATGCCTTTTTTAAAGCTAACTTTCTTCTAAAATATATAGCTCAAACAGTTTTTTAAAAGATTAGAGATGGTTATCAATTTTATTGCCTCTTTATTGGAGGGGTGGATTAAAGGTGGGAAATTATAGAAGAAATAGAATGATAGTGAGTTGAGGGTGGGAAAATATGTGTAACTTACTTTTTTAATGAATATTTAGATGATTAGAGGAAGACATAATAGAAGTGTCAAAAATAATGTATTTGACAAACTATGGATGTAAAAACAATCTTTTTGTTATATATTGACAATTGAACAATTGTTCTTTATTGGGGCCGTTAATGCTATTTTGGTATGACTTGGGCAACTGAGGACAATAGTTAGCAGCGTCCATAAAGCATCGAATACCATGATAACATCCAGTAACCCTAACAGCAGTATTTCAGAATCTTTGTCTGTTTAAATGGGCTATCTGTGAACATACTTGCTCAGGGATGCATGAGCCACATCACCTATAAATTTGATTGGAAGCTACAGTGCTGGCACAGGCTGATGGATAGCAGATTAGAACCCTGATTAACCATGTGATTCGAAGATGGAATATATTGTCTAAGCAAGATTCATCAGATGCAATCAGAATTTCAAGTGGCCAGATGAAATTCAAATGTGTGTATTGTGGTTTTTTCTCCTCTAATGCTTTTCTCCTAGGTTGCCTATTTTCCCCCTCTCTTTACCCAAAGCTGAAAAATACTTCTTTGATGAATCTGCTCCTTACCCTAAAGCTGCCTGTCTGTTATTCATCAGAAAGCAGGTCGCAGTTCAGTGAGCAGAAGAAAAGATTTTAATAGAAGCTATGCCACGGGCTGTAATGCATCATTTTAGGGCCCTAATTACATTACAATGACAAATATCAATGGTGACAACAGCAATAACCTACATCCCTTAATGGCTGTGCTGGAAAAGGAGTTTGGTCCTCACGCCATTAGATTAGACTCAGTTTCAAAACATAGGCCATTAGAAGTGTGTGTCCACAGTATTATTGGTTGATCACTGAAGCCCAGTGGAAGGGCCTGTAAATAAATGATGCCTCCTTAAAGCTGGATCTTATGGGACAAAAGAAGCAAAATTAGATGACCATGGAAACAGCAGTGTTTCCGAGGCAACTTTAGCTTTCAAAGTGAAGAATGACCGGCTTAATTTTATGAAATCACACACACACCCTACCCCCCTGCTGCCAATTAGCCTGACCATGAAAATCCATTGGCATGACAACGTAAAGAAATTAAGAAGTCTTTTAAACAAAAGGGGGCCTTTAAGAAAACATTTGGAAGATCACCCCCTCTGCCTTTTCTGTTAGGTGTGTGTGTTCACATGTATGAACCGATAAAGCGACTTTTCTACATTTTTAAAGAAAACACAGACTCTTTTTCATAGTTGTTGAGACTTGAAATAGCCTAGGTCCAAAGTTAAAGAAGCCAAATAAATACCTCTTAGTCTTTGTTTTGTCAGCTAAGTTTCCTTAGAATAGTTTTTATTGCCTATAGGCAAACTAAAGAACTCCGTTTTCTTATGTGCCCACACATTTTTCAACCCTCCTAGCAAGGGACTATTTTATTTATGTAAACAACATAATGAGGAAAATATGCTTGGCAGATGGTTCTAAGCATTAGAATCATCAGTTTGGTCTGCCCCAAAGTGTCTCATTATCTTTTATTCTCTCTCCCTCCACCTCTTGATGCAGAAAGCTTAACAACCAAATGCCTTTGAGACACTGTGCTTTCAGTCTGGTGAATGCTACTCTCTTTTCTCAGCTCACACTGGAATTTCACCCCATAACCACTGTGGTATGTTCATCCAGGTGGAGAGTGGTTGGGTGATTCCCATTGCAGCTTTTCATGGTGGTTTAAACATTCTTAAAGGATAGCTAAATGCTTCATGGGGCCAGTGCCATAAATTAAATCAGGTCAGCACAGTTGGGTCCTTATTCACTGCTGCTCCTTGTTGGTGCTGGGTTTTTGTCCATCCTGTTAGGAATGCAGAAATGGAATGGAAATTTTAGGTTTGATGCTTGGTGAATTTGTGTTTTCTCCTGGCTAGCAAAGTTTGTAAGGTGCTGGCATTTAAAAGATGCTTTGCTGTCAAGTCAAGGGTTGCTGATGAGAGAAGGAAACCTAGAATGCACAAGACATGTCACTATCGTTCTGGTAATGACTTAGTAAAAAGAAGAGCATTTTGTTCTTTTAAAAAATGAGGAACTGACCCAGATGGAATTTATTTTAAGAACTAGAAGCCAGGTGCATGAAATTCATGCAGGAGAAGGGGGGGTCCCTCAGCCAGGAGGCCTGTACCCTCTCCAATCAGGGACCCTGCAGGGAATGTCCCGACTGCCTCTCCCAATCCGGGACCGCTGGCTCCTAACTGTTGGCTCCTAACTGCTTGCCTGCCTGCCTGCCTGCCTGTCTGATAGCCCCTAACAGCTTCCCTGCTGGACTGATTGGCCCTGCCTCGCCCTGTGCCCGGGACCCAGGATTCCCTCCTTTGGCTAGTCACAGGCACCCAGGTCCCCGGGCTTCCCTTCCTCTGGCTGGCTTCACCCGGGCTGGCCCCAGCTGCAGGGGACCGTGGACAGATTGCTTTGCTAGGGCTGCAGCTGCAGGCGCCCAGGACTGCAGCCCTAGATATTTCCCATTCCTCTCTTGCAAGCTCATTTGTGCCTGGCTGGTCCCATTCTTCTCAGTGTTAAGTGTCTAAGCCATTATGACATGACAGTGTGAGAGCGTGATGACCTTTTGCATATTAGCTCTTTATTATATAGGATGTTTTAAAAATAATAATTGTTTTATGTCTCCTTTTGCCCACCTCATCAGTAAAAAATATATTATTTTATTTGTATGTATATAAAATAAATGTGTTTACCTGTCACATGCCAAAGTCTATAAGGAGCCATCTATAATAATAAAAGCTTATGCTAATTAGACTGGACAGCTGAATGACCTTCTGGATGTCATTCCAGATATCTGTATGAAGCCTTAGCAGCAGGGGCTGGGGCAGAGGCCGTTAGGGGCAATCAGGCAAGCAGGCAAGTAGTTAGAGGTAATCAAGGAGGCAGGCAGAGCAGTTAGGGGTGATGAAGCAGGCAGGCAGGTGATTAGTGGCAATGAGGCAGGCAGGCAGAGTAGTTAGGGGCTATCAGGCAGGCAGGTGAGCAGTTAGGAGCCAGTGGTCCCGGATTGCAAGAGGGATGTCCAACTGCCAGATTGGGCCTAAACCGGCAGTCAGACATCCCCCCCAAGGGGTCCTCGGATTGCAAGAGGGTGCAGACCAGGCTGAAGGCCTCCCCGAAACCCCTGCAAGAATTTCCTGTACTGGGCTTCTACTCTGCTAATACAAATTAAGATGAACATTGGTGAAGCTTTAAGTAGCCTTTTAAAGGAAACAATAGTGTTCCCCTAACCAGTTTGGCTCAGTGGATAGAATATCAACTTGCAGACTCAAGGGTCCCAGGTTCAATTCTGGTCAAGGGCATGTACCTTGGTTGTGGGCACATACCCAGTAGGGAGTATGCAGAAGGCTGCTGATTGATTTCTCTCTCTAATTTATGTTTCTAACCCTCTATCCCTCTCCCTTCCTCTCGGTAAAAAATCAATAAAATATATTAAAAAAATAAAGAAAACATAGTAGTGATCTTCCTTCCTTTCCTCCCTCCTTCAAACTTACTGTAGCATCCTGTTTTTGTAAAATGTGTATATTTAGAAAAAGTATTAGAGAAAAATCTGTTATCTGACACTGTTGGGATTCTTACAGATAAATAGTGCAGTGATTTAGTTCCCAAGGTTAGTTTCCATATACACACAAATTGCATGTATAGGAAGACTTTTAGCCTGTTCTACACCTCTTCACACAGAAAATCTTGATTAATACCCCTGGGAATTTTTATGGTTAAAGAAAACATGCCATTTTTCAACAATTTATTGCTAAGGATATGAATTAATTTTTTGGAGTTGGGTTGGGTGTTATTTTTGCGAGGAGGTTGGAGACTTAATTATAAAATCTTAGGGGTACTAATTGAGGGAAATTGAGATACAGAGAAGAATGCATACTTATCTAAATTCTAAAAACTTGGATTTTTTATGAAAACCCACATCAGATTGAATAAGGGTCCTGTTGAAGCTTTTGAAAACTGATTTCCAGTTATGAAAATTAAATTTCTTTTTATGTTGTCCTGATTCTTGAAGATTGACTTTTAAAGATGAATTCTGGTTAATAAATTGTGTTATTAATGTGGCACTGTTGTCACTGTCGCCCTTTAGTGGGCTAGCTAATGAGCGTTTTCCTCTTTCTTATGACACATACTAGCCAGAATATAAAGTGTGTTTTAATATCATCCTGTTAATATTTTGGGAATTTGTAACCAGCTGACCTCTTCATTGCTTTCCTTTCCTTTTTTACAGGCAGAGATTGTCAAGAGGCTGAATGCTATCTGTGCACAAGTCATTCCTTTCCTGTCCCAAGAGGTAAGGCAGTTGGTTTCAGGCACTGGGCTAGAAGGTGCCATTTTAGTGGTTTTGCAGAAGGGGGATTATGGGACTGACTCTTTGCCCTTGCTCTTGGTGTTTGTATTGCACATTTCTAAGGTACAGTGTTACATTCCAGCTTCTACAAATTATTTACATTCAGTGGAAAATAATTATGTTTATACAATAAAATATTTTTAATATGTGAAGGAAAAATTTAGTTGTTAAAATATTTTGCTGTCATTAGACAATTGAGTGTTACTCAGAATTATGACTGTTTGTCTTAATGACATCTAATAAGATAGTTAAAAAAATTGCCCAGAAGACAAAAGCTTGTTCTATGTTTGTGTCATTGGGCAATGAGTTGTCAGAAGAGGTATCAAATAGAAAGTACTTTATGTAGTAAACACAAACTAATGTAACTTTTGTCTAGATGTTTTTAAAAGGTAACTATTGTTACCTCATGAATCTTTGTATTGCCTATGCATTTGAGAAAAGATGCAAGATGGGCTCAGTGGACTCACTGCTCTGAATGCCATGGTCCTCATGCATTGCCAAGGCCAAGGGGCATGCAGTGCTCTCGCTCTCTCTTGCTCACCACCTGTTGGCATGCACACTGTCCACAGATCCACACATACTGGAATGAGGAGGTGCATTTCTAGTGCACGGTGGCTTCCATGGGCTTTTTTTTTTTTTTTTTTTCCTTTTTGTTTTATTTGCTTGCTTGCTTTGGGTAGCTGGAAAATTTAGGTGAGCATGCTGGAAAGGGATGCTTTTTTGATTCTGTATTACTGCTCACAGCTGAAGATCAGCTGTGAGAAGAAGCTAGCTAATGAAATATCGGCATGTCTTGCAGCCATAGAGCCATGTGTTGTGGGATAGAAAGCATGGGAAACTTTCCTCCTACTCTTCAGTTCCTTTAAGTGTGTCTGTCCCTGCTTTGCAGGAGAGTGTTTTGTTGCTTGCCTATCAGTGGGCACGATCTGATGATGTTAGTGTGCAGAGGGTATTTGCGACATGCGTGTATGTTACAGAGATGTGGATTTTCTGTGACTTCTTATTTGGTCTGAACTGGGTTAACTTGAGTAACCATGGCTACCTTTCATTGGGTATATATCCCTTTCCGGTGCTCATATTCACAAACCCTGCATGCAAGCTAAAATCCTGAATTCAAATGTTCTTCTGGATCACAAACAATAAAGGATGTATTGTCTTTCTCTTCCTTTAGCTGTTACCACAGAACTGCCGCCCACTGTCTCTCCATTTATGTATTTCCACTCAGGATTTGCTTGTAACTAGATTAGATGGGGTGGTGAAGGAGAGTCAAGGGGCCTGTAGGCATTCCTTTAGGAAGAGTGGGTACCCTTTGCCCACTCCAGACCAGTGTGCGTTTCTTCTGATTTGAAGCAGCTGTGCTTTATGGAGAATAGGAAGAATGTGTAACCCACAGAGCTGTAACCAGACTGAGGTGACACAACCCAAGGCAGAAGTTTGAGTTATCCCTGGGTGGTATTGGAACTCCACAGGCCCAGACCTCTATATAATCACTAGACAGTTTCTTCCCATGGCATTACTGCAGGATCTGTGGTGTTATATTTAGAAGTGGAAGGAGGTCTTGAGGGTGTTGGTGGAGCTGATTTACCAGTAGGTTGTTTTCCCACGTGAGTTATGTTGTTTGTGTAAGCAGGCCCAGTAGGAGCAAAATGTGTAATGGTAGTTGCTGAGCAAGACTGGACTGGAATTAATTGGCTGAGAAGTTGTACCCTGTAGAGGAAAGCCATGGGGGCGATACTGGCAGCTCCTTTTCTGCTTTAGGTGCGAGAGTAGGCATCTCAATTTCATCACTTACTGTTTATTTCCCTGCTACTTTTGACATTTCTTGGTTGAAATCCTTGATTCATGAATGATCTGTGTCATGGTTTTCTAAATCCTAATTCTGTGTATATCTTTTCTTCTGCTTACTTTGGATTAATTGCTCATCTTTTTTCAGTTTCTTAAGGTGTGTTTATATCTTCTAATGTATAGGCCACAGACATGTTTCTTCCTGACCAATCCATTCCTCTCTGATGTTTTGTGTGTGAACATTGCCCAGCTTCTTTCCCCTTTTGGGCATTCTGTGAGCATCAGACTCCTTGCCTTTACCCTGAGGCCAGATGGACAGTAATGTGGAGGAAGGGGAGGAGGCAGGTTATTAGAGGAAGATGAATTCTATTTCCTGTCTCTTCAGAGGCATGGAAAATCATTCTTGCATGGCTGCGAGCCTCACTGGTGCCAGGACTGAAGGCTCTTAATCTGATCTTTTAACACCAGCTCTCTGTGTGACAGTCTCACTGCCAAAACGGCAGCTGCGGTATTAGAATTTATTTTAAAATGTTTTTATTTTAAAATTAAATGATTGTATTTAGAGAAAAGAAAGAAAAAACAAAACACCTCTGAAGGACTAGTACATGAGGTACAGAACAATGGTTGGAGAGATTTTTTTTGGAATTTGATAGGAACAAGAGGCAAATTTATATACATTTAAGTAACATCTGTTTTTAAGTTAGCTCCCATGAGATTATTAATGTATTTGCTTAGTGCTTGTGTCTAGTGTACCACATTTTCTGAAATTAAAAAAAAAGACACACATAGAGTATTGGATGAAATTATTAAATTTAGTTTCAACTGCAAGACCTTATTTTAGAAATAAGTTGTATACCTGTAAGTGTAGATAAAAAATACTTGGAAGGATCCTGGCCAGTGTGATACAGTGGTTAGAGTGACAGCCTTTGGAAAAAAGGGTCAAAGGCACATCCCAGTCAAGGGCATGTAACTGAGTTGTGTGAGGGAAGCAACCAGTCAGTGTGTGATGTGTCTCTCTCACATCAATGTTTCTCTCTCACTCTCTCACCCCACCTCTCCTTCTTCCTCCCTTCTACTCTCTGAAAATCAATGGAAAAAAAATCCTTAGATGAAGATTAACAAAACAAAAAAGTTCTTGAAGTGTATGGATATGATACAGAGAAAATTATTTTTCTATCCCATTTCACTAAAATATTTTGAAAATTTTAAAAATTATAGTCAACATATATTTTAATGATGTGCTTGTTTACTCACATACAACTGCTTCCAAAGTCCAGACATTAAACAAAGATATTGCCAACTCTTGTCATTAAAGTAACTATCAATTATAGTTCTTAGAATCTTATAGGACTCCTACTATCAGAATTTAGAGAAAGCTTGTGTGTCTTTACCCATCTAAAGCTGTTTTTTCCTCCCCCTTTCTTTTGGCTTTTAGGAATGGGTAAAGACTAATCTATAGTCAGCTGCCCTCAAGTTTCTTCTCTAAAAGGCAAACCTCAATGTGTAATAGTGGGAAGCTCTTCTCTACCCCATTTTGGGCCTTATTTGCAGGGAAGGAACTAAATATAATCAGCTCCCAGTTGGCAATTCCATAGAAAGAAATGCCAGGATGATGACAGTCAGATCTGAGTCAATTCTTGGCCTATTACAAATTGAGTGGTTTTCTGTAACCGAGTTAAGCTGGGTGACCTTTAGCTTCCCTAAGCCTCAGTTTCCTCATCTGTGTGATGAGGTTAATAATAGCATGGAACACACAGTCACTTTGGGGATTACTTGGATTAAGTACATGAAATTTAGCACATAGTAAGCACCTCCTGATGTTTACTAGCATCAGTACTAGCTACAACAGGGTGAAGTGCTAGATTTCCTTGTGAGAGGACCTAGAGGCAGCCCTCCCTCCTCTTTGTAGTCATTGTTTTTTGGGAAATTGTGAATTTGTTATCTTCTCTCTAATGTCCTTCTGGCAAAGGAAAAAAAGTGTAAATTAAAACAAACCTGTGGCTGACACTAGCTGAAAATCTCAGTGAGGCATTAGGTAGCCTCCAAAGTGATTGTCTTCTAGCTCCAAAAATTAATTTTCCCATTTAGCAAACAGCTGTGTCTCCCCAGTCAGCAAGCAAAGTTCCACCCATAAGATAACAACTATTCAGGGTGCTTAACCAGTAGCGCTTACCTCAGAAGGATTCGTGGTTTTGGATGGGGTCTGTGTTTTACCCACAAAGTTATATAGAAAAATAAACTTCTCAGTCCCGTTGAGATCTGGCTGTTTTCAAAATATACCTGATGGTTTAGCTGAAGGTGGTTTTGGTTTTACAAGTAGATTATGTGGATGGAGTCTTTTTTTCATCAGCGATTTTAGGATATAGCTTTTGTAGACCCTTAGACAGTAGGGCCTTACGCAAAATTGGAGGATGCCAGTAAGTAGACTTGCCACCAGTGTCCCCCTCCTCCTTTCCTAAGAACATACCTTTAAGGAATTTCTAATGTAGATTGAAAACTATAGGCACTTGTTACACCCTGGCAGCAAGGTGCAATGTTTCTGCTAATTTGAAATCAGACCAACTCTGCCTTTTACTGGCTTTGTATTGGGAAAGTTGATCTCTCCGAGCCTTAGTATTCCTATAGAATAGTGGGAATAACCCCATTTTTATAATATATATCACATGTACTGAAATATAAAGCACTTGGGATTTGTATTGTTTTCTTTTCCTTTTCCTGGGAAATGGCTTCTATCCAGCTTTTTTTTTTTTTTTTTGAGTCCTAAGTCATTTGGAGAGGACGGACTTAATAAACGATGGGAAGAGTTCATGGTAGTATTTCAGAACACTAGCTGGCAGCCTTCCTGGGAAGGTAGGTTGGCCTTGCAGCTTTAGGGGCTGCTTTGAGCAGCTGGCAGTAGCTCCACACAGATTATCTTCCAGAAGGAGGGGGTACTTTGTTTTTTGTTGAAGAAGTAAGTATGGTCTTAACCTGTTAGATTAAGCATTAAATTAGGCAGCAGCTGAGGACCTGATTTGGAAGACAGTTGTGTTTTTGAACTCTTCTTTTCCTAGATTATAAAATTGTTTACTTTTGAGACGAGCAGAATATGTTTCATGGTGATCAACAAGAATTCTTAAGACCTTTGAGAACTTCAAACCCCTGATAGGCTGTAGGTG